TGGCCGAGCCTTAACATATCAAAAAAAAAAAGGTCGGAATCAGAGACAAATAGCATGTAATAGGCAATCAAGAAAACCTTGATATGGATAGAATTAGAGGCTTTTTTGGGTTTTGTACCCATTCTGTAAGGCATTGTTGGCCTTTGGGCCTGTTGAGGTCCACAGCTTTACGCCCGGTCACAAGCTCAACAAGCACAACACCGAATGAATAAACATCGGCTTTTTCTGTGATCTGACCACTTTGAGCGTACTCGGGTGCTAGGTACCTGTATGAAATAAGTTAGCAATATAGTGGTCTTATAGTAAAAACGCAATACTCTGCTAGTAAAAGCAAATTGTGTAGCGAGATATAATTAAAAAAAAAATACCCGAATGTTCCAATGACTCTGGTTTCGACCCCCTTTTCCCCATCCGGCTGCCACCTAGCCAGACCAAAATCTCCAACCTTGCATTTGTGGGAGGGAGAGAGAGAGAGAGAGAGAGAGAGAGAGAGAGAGAGAGAGAGAGAGAGAGAGAGAGAGAGAGAGAGAGAGAGAGANNGAGAGTGAGAGTGAGAGAGACAGAGAGGCAGAGACAGCATGCATTATGACAAAAATATACGAAAAAGGCAAAAAAAAACATTTTTAGCCCTGTTGATTTACGTCATAGCAATTTTAGTACAAAGATTCCAACTTTTCACCTTTTAGTCTTGTGAATTTTTCCAATTTCAATAAAATATTAAACCAATAGGACTAAAAGACTGAAATTGCAAGCAAAAATATTAAATCACAAGACCAAAAAGTGAAATGTTGGAATCTTGGACTAAAATTGCTATGACGTTAAACCAGTAGGACTAAAAATGCAATTTTCCCTATGAAAAAACAATTTGAGCAAACATATACTAAAACAAATAGTGGGGTAAAAAGTTAGTACCAACGGCTCGAAATCGTGAGTGATGAGAATATTATTAGGCCGCATATCTCGATGAACAATGCAGCCAACCCGACATTCTTCGTGAAGGTACCGCAATCCACGTGCTGCACCAACCGCAATCTTCTGCCGTGCAGCCCAAGAAAGTGTATCCTGATGCCGCCCTGAGAGTATCATAAATAAAATTGCTAACTGTTATTCATAGACTTTAAAAGGTCGAATTATTAATAAAACACGCATTTGAGTTTTGAATCTAGTTAAAGTTGCAATTTTTTAAAACGGGTTCTTGTAAATATGAGATTACAGCAAAGAGAAACGATACATTTGGAAGCAAAATCTTGAAAATGTAGTTTAATGTCAAACCAGAATGCAGCCCCCTAAACCACTTCTAAAACTGCAAATATAAACTGAAAAAAATCCACTCATTTCCAGAATTATTAATAAAACACGCATTTGAGTTTCGAATCTAGTTAAAGTTGCAATTTTTGAAAACGGATTGTCGTAAATATCCGATTGCAGCAAGAGAAACGATACATTTGGAAGCAAAATCTTGAAAATGTAGTTGATATCAAACCAGAATGCAGCCCAAAAAAACCACTTCTAAAACTACAAATCGAAAATGAAAAAAA